GCGGACTTGTGATCCTATTTACAAACACCATTAGAACAAATCATTCTATTCATTAAGAGAATGCAACTATATATCTATCCCAACCTCTTTGAATACACAGGTTTTGATTTATATTTTCTTAATGTCCTCTGTTGTTAAACAGCTTCTTATATACCTATTGGTCGTGGTTATATCTACTTACTACCTATTTGTCAAGTTTTTTTGTTCATTTTTAAGTGTATTTTCTATTTGCTTTGCTGTTGAGTCTGTTAGAGTTTCACACATATTTTGAATATTAACCTCCTTTCTGAAATGTCTCACAAATGTCTTCTCCCAACCCATTGGCTGCTTTTTGATTTTATTGTTCCTTTTAATGTGCAAAAACTTTTTAGTTTTATATTTATCACTTTATATTTATATTTACTTTATTTTTATATTTATTTTATTTTATTTTTTAAGAATACAAAATAATGATGGAAAAAAGGAATTGGAAATGTTACAAAACTTCACTAAACAAAGTAATAGGAATTCATCAGTGGTTGATGTGCAATATTGTTTTCTGTATTTATAGTTTTTCTTGATTTAGAAGCTATTAAGAAAAGTCTATCATGTTCATGAATGAGTGATGTCTTACCATGTGGGTATCACTCCTTATACTTTGGTCAGTTTTTGCCTTACATGCACTGAATCTGGTTTATTAGGCACATACTACTTGACAATAGAGTATCTTCTTTTGAAATTGCTTTTCAGAATAATTCTTAAGTCTTTTTATTTCTCGTAATATTCTTAGATGCTTTAAAATCTAATCTGTATGTTTAGCATAGCTACATCTACTTTCATTTAGTTCATGTTAGATTATGGCCCTATATCTTTTTTTAAAGATGTAGAAAGAGTGAATTTTAGAGAAGTATTTCTGAAATGAATACATAACATGAGATTAATAGTAGATTGCATGTTGTAAAAAAATTTTCACAAACTTAAATGAATATAACAATAAAAATTGTCTAAAATAAAAATGAAGAAAGAATTTACAGATCAGTCATATAGTTCACTCTGTGCCAAAATCAAGAAACTTATATTCATATAATTAGAATTCTCAAACTAGAAGGGGGTAGACAATAAATATTTAAAGATTTAAAACTTCTGAATTTAGTTAAAATTATAGCACAAGTTCAAGAATAATGAACCTTTAGCACAAGAAACATGAATAAAACCATAGCAGGACACACAAAAATTGTCCCAAAACTAATTGTAAAGAAAAAAAATAATTAAATCTTCCATACATTAGTTATGGAAGAACAAAATTAAATAGCATCTTATGCCACAATAGAAAAAAAAAGCAAGTAGGTAAGAAAGGATTGAAAAAGAAAAAAGGGGCCTGGGAGATGGCTCAGTAGAATAAGCGTTTCCCTGGCAAGCGCAAGGGCCTGAGTTCAATCCCTGGTTTCACCAAAAAGATCTGTCCTCATTGAATTTTATACTTAGCAAACATGCCTTTGAAAACTAAAAGAAAAATATTTTGCAGTTATACAAACTCAATATATTCAAACACCTCCAGATGTAACACATAGAAAATAACAAAGACCATAATCCAGAAGGCAAGAGAAGTTGCTGTATGGTCATGCATAAAGAATAAAGAACTTGCAAGATGGTAGTTATGTAGGACTGTATAAAATATAATTATATTAGATGAACCCATTTAAAAGGTCCTTGAAGATTTCCACAAAACACTATCAATCTTAGGTTATATACATATTTTTTCATATATAATATATATTATATAGTGTGTGTGTGTGTGTGTGTGTGTGTGTGTGTAGAAGACAAGGAAGGACTAATATAAAGTCAATGTAAAATTGAAATAAGCTTTTTAAAGTGTCTAATACAAGGAGAAAATATCATACCATGTCTTGCAAGTAGATTGTAAGTCAAAGATATAGTATAAATAATAAAACAAGAATTAAAGTTAAACAATATTGAGAAAATTAATTAAATATCAATAATGCAAAATTAAATTAAATATTTCAAAACAATATTCAGAAATTTAGCCAGTCCTAGCCCAGGTCCTGTGAGTGTGTGGGAGAGTTCCTGCTACCCTGCATGAGCGGGACCTACTACTGTTCCCAGCCCAGGTGTAGCGTGGGTGAGATCCTCTTCCACTCCCTTGGGACGCCCCCCACCACTCCGCAGCACCTTCCTCACCTCGTCCACCCAGTAGGAATTTCTGCCCTGTTCCTGGAACCCCCAGACACAGTCGTAGCCCAGGTCCAGTAAGTGTGTGGGAGAGCTTCCTGCTACCCTGCACCATCGGGATCTACTACTGGTCCCAGCCCAGGCGAAGTGTGGGTGAGACCCACTTCCACTCCCTTGGGACGCCTCCCACCACTTCGCAACACCTCCCCCGCCTTGCCTGCCCAGTAGGAATTTCTGCCGCTTTCTGGAAACCCCAACACCCAGTCCTAGCCCAGACCCAATGAATGTGTGGGAGAGCTGCCTCTCCCCATTACTTCACATTGTCCCCTCCAGGCTCAGCTCAGGCCCGGCATACAGGCCTGGGGTGTAACGCTGCAGCTGCAATCCCTGAAGAGAGTGTAGAGGATAGAAACACCCAGCTAGCCCAGGAGAAGAAAATCTTGCCAGAGGGGCACTACAGGTCCACCCTCAAGGGCAGCAGCAGGAAGGAGCTGAGCATAACAGCCAGACCCAAGCCAGGCACAGTTGGATAAATCAAAACATTGCAGGTCTGCACCTGAACTTCAGTACATGCAAAGGTTATAACTGCAATGAATATCTACAACAAAGGTCAAAAGACATTGCTACACAAAATGACGAGAAGGAACAAAATGCAACCTCAGAACCCAAGCCCACCCATAACAAGTGCAGAGGACACTAACACAGAACAAATTG